AGATTTCAGAGCTAACCTAACTAGCACGCTAACCTAACCTCACTAAATTTTACTTTACCCTTCGATCTCCTCGCACATTATATTCTCCTGATACCAGATTTCTGAGCTAACCTAACTAGCACGCTAACCTAACCTCACTAAAATTTGATTTTAACCTTCGATCTCCTCGCACATTATATTCTCCTGATACCAGATTTCTGAGCTAACCTAACTAGCACGCTAACCTAACCTCACTTAAAATTTTATTTTAACCTTCGATCTCCTCGCACATTATATTCTCCTGATACCAGATTTCTGAGCTAACCTAACTAGCACGCTAACCTAACCTCACTAAAATTTTATTTTAACCTTCGATCTCCTCGCACATTATATTCTCCTGATACCAGATTTATGAGCTAACCTAACTAGCACGCTAACCTAACCTCACTAAAATTTTATTTTAACCATCGATCTCCTCGCACATTATATTCTCCTGATACCAGATTTCTGAGCTAACCTAACTAGCACGCTAACCTAACCTCACTAAAATTTTATTTTAACCTTCGATCTCCTCGCACATTATATTCTCCTGATACCAGATTTCTGAGCTAACCTAACTAGCACGCTAACCTAACCTCACTAAAATTTTATTTTAACCTTCGATCTCCTCGCACATTATATTCTCCTGATACCAGATTTCTGAGCTAACGCTAACCTAACCTTACTAAAATTTTATTTTAACCATCGATCTTCTCGCACATTATATTCTCCTGATACCAGATTTCTGAGCTAACCTAACTAGCACGCTAACCTAACCTCACTAAAATTTTATTTTAACCTTCGATCTCCTCGCACATTATATTCTCCTGATACCAGATTTCTGAGCTAACCTAACTAGCACGCTAACCTAACCTCACTAAAATTTGATTTTAACCATCGATCTCCTCGCACATTATATTCTCCTGATACCAGATTTATGAGCTAACCTAACTAGCACGCTAACCTAACCTCACTAAAATTTGATTTTAACCTTCGATCTCCTCGCACATTATAATCTCCTGATACCAGATTTCTGAGCTAACGCTAACCTAACCTTACTAAAATTTTATTTTAACCATCGATCTTCTCGCACATTATATTCTCCTGATACCAGATTTCTGAGCTAACCTAACTAGCACGCTAACCTAACCTCACTAAAATGTTATATTAACCTTCGATCTCCTCGCACATTATATTCTCCTGATACCAGATTTCTGAGCTAACCTAACTAGCACGCTAACCTAACCTCACTAAAATTTGATTTTAACCATCGATCTCCTCGCACATTATATTCTCCTGATACCAGATTTATGAGCTAACCTAACTAGCACGCTAACCTAACCTCACTAAATTTTATTTTACCCTTCGATCTCCTCGCACATTATATTCTCCTGATACCAGATTTCTGAGCTAACCTAACTAGCACGCTAACCTAACCTCACTTAAATTTTATTTTAACCATCGATCTCCTCGTACATTATATTCTCCTGATACCAGATTTCTGAGCTAACCTAACTAGCACGCTAACCTAACCTCACTTAAATTTTATTTTAACCTTCGATATCCTCGCACATTATATTCTCCTGATACCAGATTTCTGAGCTAACCTAACTAGCACGCTAACCTAACCTCACTTAAATTTGATTTTAACCTTCGATCTCCTCGCACATTATATTCTCCTGATACCAGATTTCTGAGCTAACCTAACTAGCACGCTAACCTAACCTCACTAAAATTTGATTTTAACCATCGATCTCCTCGCACATTATATTCTCCTGATACCAGATTTCTGAGCTAACCTAACTAGAACGCTAACCAAACCTCACTAAAATTTTATTTTAACCATCGATCTCCTCGCACATTATATTCGCCTGATACCAGATTTATGGGATAACCTAACTAGCACGCTAACCTAACCTCACTAAAATTTGATTTTAACCTTCGATCTCCTCGCACATTATATTCTCCTGATACCAGATTTCTGGGATAACCTAACTAGCACGCTAACCTAACCTCACTAATATTTTATTTTAACCATTGATCTCCTCGCACATTATATTCTCCTGATACCAGATTTCTGGGATAACCTAACTAGCACGCTAACCTAACCTCACTAAAATTTGATTTTAACCTTCGATCTCCTCGCACATTATAATCTCCTGATACCAGATTTCTGAGCTAATAACCTAACTAGCACGCTAACCTAACCTCACTAAAATGTTATTTTAACATTCGATCTCCTCGCACATTATATTCTCCTGATACCAGATTTCTGAGCTAACCTAACTAGCACGCTAACCTAACCTCACTAAAATTTTATTTTAACCATCGATCTCCTCGCACATTATATTCTCCTGATACCAGATTTATGAGCTAACCTAACTATCACGCTAACCTAACCTCACTAAAATTTTATACCATCGATCTCCTCGCACATTATATTCGCCTGATACCAGATTTCTGAGCTAACCTACCTAGCACGCTAACCTAACCTCACTAAAATTTTATTTTAACCATCGATCTCCTCGCACATTATATTCTCCTGATACCAGATTTATGAGCTAACCTAACTAGCACGCTAACCTAACCTGCCTAAAATTTTATTTTAACCATCGATCTCCTCGCACATTATATTCGCCTGATACCAGATTTCTGAGTTAACCTAACTAGCACGCTAACCTAACCTCACTAAAATATTAGTTTAACCTTCGATCTCCTCGCACATTATATTCTCCTGATACCAGATTTCTGAGCTAACCTAACTAGCACGCTAACCTAACCTCACTAAAATTTTATTTTAACCTTCGATCTCCTCGCACATTATATTCTCCTGATACCAGATTTCTGAGCTAACCTAACTAGCACGCTAACCTAACCTCACTTAAAATTTTATTTTAACCTTCGATCTCCTCGCACATTATATTCTCCTGATACCAGATTTCTGAGCTAACCTAACTAGCACGCTAACCTAACCTCACTAAAATTTGATTCGATCTCCTCGCACATTATATTCGCCTGATACCAGATTTATGAGCTAACGTAACTAGCACGCTAACCTAACCTCACTAAAATTTTATTTTAACCATCGATCTCCTCGCACATTATATTCTCCTGATACCAGATTTCTGAGCTAACCTAACTAGCACGCTAACCTAACCTCACTAAAATATTATTTTAGCGTTCGATCTCCTCGCACATTATATTCTCCTGATACCAGATTTCTGAGCTAACCTAACTAGCACGCTAACCTAACCTCACTAAAATTTTATTTTAACCATCGATCTCCTCGCACATTATATTCGCCTGATACCAGATTTCTGAGCTAACCTAACTAGCACGCTAACCTAACCTCACTAAAATTTTATTTTAACCTTCGATCTCCTCGCACATTATAATCTCCTGATACCAGATTTCTGAGCTAACGCTAACCTAACCTTACTAAAATTTTATTTTAACCATCGATCTTCTCGCACATTATATTCTCCTGATACCAGATTTCTGAGCTAACCTAACTAGCACGCTAACCTAACCTCACTAAAATTTTATTTTAACCATCGATCTCCTCGCACATTATATTCTCCTGATACCAACCTCAGGGTTTTGCTCAGGATACCTTGAGATGAATCCTAGAGGTTCTGGAGCACCCATAGGTGCGGGTACACCACGAGCTTATGATCAAGTCGCTGCCCGAGGGGCTCAGGGTGCACATCGCTCCGGTATCACACCCGGAGGTGGACACGACTGAGCCTCAGTCGAGTTGCATTATGGCTGCATTGAATGCAGTTGTCAAAAGGATGGAGGGCGGATGGATTTCCTCGGCTGGCAGGGTGTTGCTGGAATCCGCAGGGTGTCATTCTTCAACTTGGACTGGTTGGAGAGAACAGTCTCTCTTATTAGGCCATGAAAGTTCAGAGGCACTTCTCTGCCTGGTAGGGCCCTCCTCGCATTTGGTGTCGATGATGCATCCTATCAGCGATTCCAGCGGCAGAACATCCAGGCACACGCAAGGATCTCGCGCGTCACTTTTCAATCAAAAGTTATACCTGGACTAGAAACCAATTTCGAAAGAAAATTAAAAAGGCTGTACCTTTTGATCTAATGGCCCAATCTTCAAACTGTTTGAAATTATAGATTCTACGGGCCAAATTTTATAAGAAAATGTTTTTTTTTTCGGTGAATCGTTTTAGATTCTACGCACCAAAATTAATAAGAAAGTGTTTTCCCGAGAAATTTTGGTGTAGTTGATTTTTGGTAAAAAAGGAAGGTTATACATTGCCTATTTTTTTGGCCCGAAGAAAAAATTGTCTCAGATCGACCGGAAGAAAATATTTTCTTATAGAATGTGGCCTGTAGAATCCATAATTTCAAACAGTTCCAAGATCGGGCTACTAGATCAAAAGTTACAGCCTTTTGAATTTTTTGTCGAAATTGGTTTTTTGCCCATAAATTTTGATTGAGACGTCTAATCGAAAAAGTACGAATCGTTTTGGATTCCACGCACCAAAATTAATAAGAAAAAGTTTTTTCCCGAGAAATTTTGGAGTGGTCGATTTTTGGTTAAAAAGGAAGGTTATACACTGCCTTTTTTTGAGGCCGGAAAAAAACATAGAATGTGGCCAGTTCAATTCAAAGGGCTGTAACTTTTGATCCAGTACCCCAATCTTCAAACTGTTTGAAATTATGGATTGTACGGGCCAAATTCTATAAGAAAATGTTTTTTTCTCGGTCGATTTCAGACAATTTTTTCCGCCCTTCAAAAATCGACTACTCCAAAATTTCTCGGGAAAACACATTTTCTTATTAAATTTGGTGCGTAGAATCCAAAACGACTCGTACTTTTTTGATTAGACCTCTCAATCAAAAGTTATGGTCAATTGACCAGTAACTTTTGATCTTGACCCTAAACCGAGGAAAAAGTATCTGAAGTACCCTGTGCATTATTTGTATTAGGCAACACCATGATGCTGTCTGTATTGTGGGTAGTCTTTTATTTCAATGATCGTTGGCAACACTGTTTATTTACAAATATCATAGTTACATAACCTCAATCATTAGATCGATTTGGAATTGTTCTAAACAATTAAAAATATGAATTTAGATTTCCGTGAACTGAAGGTATCATGAATAAACCCTTTCACGAAAATTGCGATTTATTTGTAGGTTCCGGACTCCTCGTCGCACACCACAAAACCTTCCTGCATTTCGGCAATTCATCTATGGTTGGTGACCCAAGTCGAACGGAACGATGACGACTTTAGCCTGGGCGAAGCCCTCCAATCGTACCATCCGCTGTTGGAGCACGTATTCACATATTTGGACAAGGCGAGCTTGCAGTGCGCCCGTTGTACGTGCACGATATGGAACGAGCTGGCCACGAAGGAGTTGAACAAACGAATTTCGCCGTCGTGGATCGCGTTCTACCCTAACGGCCGTTTGACATGCAGCAGAGGGTTCAGTTATACGAATGTGTCTTTCGGAATATTCGCGTACAATCCGAAGCTGGTCAAATTGGACGGAACGCTGTGCGTGCACGGTTTGTCGGACGAAACGAAGATGAGCGGTACGGTTAGTATGCGCCCGCAGTATTAACGACGGCGCAAAAAGTGCGTGGGCTCGAGTTTGAGGCCTAATAAAATCGTGCATGGAGTAGGAGAGTATTCTTGAAATATTTTGAGCTCCTTTTTTTGTCAAAGAAATGTAGATTTTTTTGTGGTTACTCCACTGGCTTGTCATATGTCATGCCGGTCCTGGAGACACTTGAAAACTTGTTTTGTCTAAATCGTCCAGAATTCCATACGTTGCGCATGCGCAGGAAAATTCTTGACAAACCGGTTCTGGAGACATTTGGAAGAAGCTTAGCGCCTCTTAGGCTCTGAACACTTTTGAAGGTTCTGTAGAGTGAAAGTAAGACTGTGAATTTGTTTATTGGGCCTCAATCTCTAGTCCACATGCTTTTGGTGCCCGACAGCAATTCTCTTTAGTTGCAGAGTACTTTGAGTCGATTACCGAGGCGCGACTGCGCTATTGCGTAATAGCGTGCCCGTCTTTGACACCGATCGTACCGTCGACCAGCGCCGACCAGCTCGCGGTCGGCTTTCAGGGTCTATTCGTTCCACGCATTCCGCACGTTGAGACGCACATGTTCCGGTCGAACGCGAAGTCCGCACCGACGTTCAGGTCCGGAGCGGCGCCCAGACTGCGCGTGAAGTGTTGCATTATATTCAGCGGAAGTACGGTACGTTTACTCGAACCGTTTCTGCGCGCCTATCTCGCTGCGGAGAGGCCGGAAAGCGTTGCGCTCGGCGGCGGCTTCATTTACAATAAAAAATCGCTCCAAATGCCGGAAGGCGAACGGTTCAAAGACTCGGAAATCTTTTGCATGGCGTTCCTGCAAGCCGACGGCGCCGAAGCAAACTTCGCTGCCCATTCGGTTGTCATCGTGAACGAAACGGAAGACGAAGTTGGATTCGTCAACGAATTAGTTCAGGTAACTTAACGCAAGTCCAGCCCTGTTGACGTTTGTCTAAATCGTCCACGATACACTGCGCATGCCTGAAAAATTTTTTATATAAAACTTCAAACTGCTTCGAATTAAGTATGCATTTGATTTTAGTTTAAGGAGGGACTAGTGCTTCACAAGTACGGAGTCCTCTTCCGATTTTGCTGCAAGGCGAAAACGTGGAAAGTCGACGAGAGCGACATCATCAGGCGCCACTTCCCCGACTTCGTCCTGTACGGAATGGACGTCAACGGCGAAATCGGGTGGAACACGGGCAACGGTTCCACCACCACCGAAGAACTACCTTCGGCAAAAAAGAGACGCAAGAAAGACCTGCCGCCGTACGTCTACGGCTGGTCGACCGTTCTTGTACTACTAACGTGGAATAAAAAATGAGCCGTCGCTAAATTCGACTTTTATTTACTAATTTACAGATCATATAATTACGAGGCGGCTTTCGCGTCAATCAAAATGGAACGTTGCAAGTCGACGCAAGCTGTGAACGCCTCGACTTCTTTAAGACACTTCATCGCTTGATTCGGATTCCTCTTGTAGCACTCCAGAACTCGCGCCTTGCTAATCTGGCATGGGGGCGTATCGCACGCGTACAGCTTCTTCTCCTTGGTATTCATCTCGTTTATCTAAAAGATGTTCGATTAATCGTCCTGCCAAAAAAATTACAAACTACCGCTTTATTATATTCGCCCTCCATCACTTTGTGCATTTCCATGTGATAACTTTCTAAATCCTTAATACGTCTCTCCCAATACTCGTCGTTCTTCTTCAACGCTTCAGACTTCTCCTGTTGGAATTGTAGAGAGGTTAACCGCGGTTCATAGTAGTATATCGGGGCCGGTCCGTTTGGAACAGCCGCAATCACCTCTTGCCTTTGAACACTTCTTACCTGCGAATCTGGAAAAAACACGGGGTTCGATTATTGATCATTGGAAACTTCAAGGGGGTACAACCGGATTTCAATCTTTGAACGACATCCTCCGAAACTTTGATTACATTCGACGCGTCTTCGTTATCTAAAGTTAGCTTTCTTGTCCTACTCGAACCGCTACCCATTTTATTGTTAATTTAAGTGTTTTTTTAATCAAATTATGTAATACTTAACAACATTTCAAAAATGAAAATTTAGCTACTGTGGCTCGTGTACCGTCGAGACAAGTGAGCTACTCATTCTAGCCTACTTGGATCAAAATCGTTAAGATTAGGATTTGCAAAAAATTTCTGGGTGTGTAATATTGCATTCATCAATTTTCGCTCTCAACTTGTTTAAGCATAGGCACAAATTCAACAACGTTTATCAAATTAAAACTAAGTACCTCTGAACTACTGACCAATAAAAAAGAAGCTGATGGCGGCAACAACACGAAGGTAGGTACGTACGAAGATAAAGGCTATACAGGGAGTCTCACAATGAAAGTAACTAAATACAAAATGGGTATTTTCAATTTCGTTTGGTATAAAACCAGCCTGAAGTTACATTCGCTTTTTTTTCAGGACATGGGTTTAGGTGGTATCGACGGATAATGATAAGATATAATCTTTCAAAATTCGGTATGAATGCTCCTAAGGGTGTCTTCAAAAATTTAAAATGGCCACCGTTTTACAAGATGGCGGCACATATTAACTATTATTAGTGGTAAGCGTCCTTCAAACAATGTACTACAATGAAATTTGGTATGAACGCTTCGATAAGGGTATTATTTTATATGAAAACGGCTACCAATGCAAACATTCACTAATAATAGTTAAATAATATTGGCAGGATCTGTGCCGCCATTTTGAATTTCTTAAGTGGCCACCATTTTCATATAAAAGAGCATTATCATACCCAATTTCATGCTTGTATCATAATCTGAACGATTCAAGCATTTTCAGTCATTTATCTGCCCCAGTATCCGCGAAATTAATTAAATTAAACAAATGTATTAGATCGACCACATTCAGTACATCATTTAAAAAAATTCTCAGTAGCGGTAGGTATATAAATTAAAAAAGAATTGACTTAAACCGAATATAAATAGTTCTCGTATTTAGTCTTGGGAGTTGGTCCGGCGAACGGCGAGAACCATCCGATAGAAAATCGTCCGAAAACCGCCTGTATACTTTTCCACCTCGACTTCTTCACCCATCTCGCCTCCTCCTTCTTCAACTGCTCGATGCCCGTCTCGTCGTTCCAGATCGCCTGCACCTGCGTGCCGAGCATGACCGCTGTGAAGATGGCGAAAAGCAGCGCCTCGAAGATGAGGAACAGAAGCAGAACGACGGTCGCCGGTGGAGAGTACGCCGTGCAGTCCCTCCACTCGGTCCGAATGCAGGTAAGAAACTGATTGGCGGCGAGAAATAGGGAGTGCAACGAGATGGCGGCGATATAAAACTGCAACGAGACCGAAGTGGCGTGATGGCGGATTCGAGGGGGTGGCTTACCGTAAATAACACAAAGTACTTTTGATTGTTTTCGCCCACGCAATTGTTGACCCATGGACAGTGGTGGTCCATTTTGCGTATGCATCTGACAATAAAGACACTTAGAATGAGGTATTTAAAAGTATAGTAGGTGGGGGGTGGTTAATCTTACCTTTGACAGACGGAACAGTGATGCGCCCTTTCCGGTTTGATACTACAACACTTCGGGCACTTGAAAATAACCTGCCCCTCCCGAAATCCCATCTGTTTAATCATCTCCTTGGTCGCGTTACCTTTTGGCACGGCACCCTAGCGTACAAAGTGATCAGCCAAGCAAAGAAAGAGTGCTACTCACCGGATCGGTAAACATCGTCCTTAAATGTGAGGTAAACGCGAGAAACGTGCACGATTGGAATATGATCATATTTGCTAGACTGTAAAGGCTGTAAGACGTCGGTATTAGTATAATAAACATCACGACGAATTCGGCGTAAAGAATAAGAAACCACGTCAGGATTGCGCAGATGATGCCGCAAATATCGCGGATACACCAAATCATTCCGCCGCAGCACTTGTTGTGAAAGTCCATTTCGGAACGAAAACTAACATAATCGTACTCCATCTCTTAATTTTGACCACCTCTAAAAATGCTAGGGAGGTTTCGGAAGCTTCAGTACGTTTGACCTAATAATACGAAACATGTTCTTCAACCACAAATTGCACCCCTTTTACGATCATTTAGGGCTGATTATAGTTTAAAGGGGCGAGTGTGTAATAAACAAGAACCATTTAGAGGTTAAGTAAGTACTATGAAGTGAAGTTGGCTGCGTTGCCAAAACGCAAATTTCACATTTATTAAAAATCAAGAGCTAAATTCAAAAGCGGTCTCAAAATGGACCGGAAATTCAGATGTGGCATTGACCATGGATTTGGGCTTATAGAATCCAAAAAAAGCAATGGGAATCTTTTCATTAATAGAAAAATTGCCTCAACACTCAGGCGGAAGAAGCTGCCTCAAATCAATTTTGGGAACAAAACAGTTTCTGTAGGAACCAAAAAAACAGTCGGATTCAAGTTTGAGCCTATAAAGAACAAGAGTTATAGATGAGAAACCGTCTCTCTGCATCTCAAATCGAGTGAAGACATTTTCTGGCAGATTTTGGCTCATGGATTCTAAAAGTCAGAACCTTGAGCGGTTTTAGCTGAGGAAAACTGTCTGCGCCGTCTCAAGAGCACCAACGCTTTCTTTCGTTACATCCACCTTGGTTTGATATTTCGTCGATATACCGGGTGGTGCACAGTAGGTAGAAGCATAGGTATTTAACATGGGAAATTAGTTTTATCATTGAATCAATGGCTTTACGCAATATTCTGCCATATGTACAATGCGATCAAAAATGAGTTGCTGTCGAGTCACCTTTGGAATTGAGATGTCTGCTTTCAAATTTCAAACAAGAAGTTCCGTTACCGTATATTGAGACACCGTTTAAGCTACCGTTGCCAGATACCGAGCCACAATTCAATAGCGTTCCCATGAAAAAACAATAGGGTTATTATTCAACAATGTATTCAGTCTTCAATGTCAGCAATTATAACAATAGTAGTCTGTATAGGGAGGAAATGGTGGATAGATTTAGTTTTTGCCGAGTTAGCTTTTCGAGTTCGCACAGGTTCATTTTTTTCTTTGAGTTCACTTTGCTTTGGGTAGTCAGGTAGTGTGGTGTTCATTGTAACAGAAAGGTAATGTACTTAGTTGTAATTGATTTATATTGTAGATTATGTCGCCTTCAGCTAGTTGTAATGCAGGGTAAAGTGATTCTTGAATTTGGTGTAATTTGCTTTCATGTAAAAGTGGTTCTTGTTTGATTTGTTGAAGATTGGCCAGTTACCAATTTTCATGTGTTTGTTTTGAACCCATTTAGATTGATTAGCGACTTCAATTCTTTGTGTATGAATTAGCCTTTTTTGAGTGTAATTAACCGTTTCGCCCTTGCAGAGGTACATGCCGGAGTGATAAAGATACTTAGCGGCATGTATTTCGAACGACAACTTTAGTCTAAGGTTACCGTATCCAGGATCTTAGATACCTGCTAGATTGGAGGAGGTCTGGCTAATTAATGATGTTTATTTTATGCACTTTATGTAAGAGACTTCGGAATGTTATGAAATAAAGCTTTTACTGGCGACCTTCTATTTTGTTAGAGCTCCGGTTGTCATCGATCGCATTACTAATGTCATGTCGATTAAGTTCATGGACAAAACACTTTACTGGGCAAATACCATATACCAAAAGGTAGCGATTACACCGTAAAGTGCTTCCAATGTATACGGAAAATACATTAGCGTACTTACATGTTTACTTACTCAACAAATAAGAATATATGTTCAATCAGCACCTAACGATTCAGTTTGAGTGTTGTAATAGAAGTAACACGACAATGAAAATTACAGTGTTTGCGTCGTGTGTCATTTTTCTATCTTTCTTAAGTACCACAATTAGTATTTCGCTAAAGAATAATCAGACGTCCTCGAAGGTGTGTACAGAAAAAGTGATCAAAATGATTTTTGGAGATGAAACTCTTCACTATGTCTTCAAAGAATCCAGTGATCTGCTACCGTTCAATATTAAAAACCCAAGGGTTGTTATTAACATCAGTAATCCCATTCCTCGCATGAATCGAGTGGTTGCCAAAAATTTCATATTAGAAGTCGGAAATTTGGATTTTTTAAAAAAATTTCTTAACTCTTTTAGATTCGTAGGCATATGGACCGAGTATGAACCCGTTAATGCAAGACTCCTGGTTATAACCGATCACCTGTGGCGCGTTGAAATGATTTTCAGTTTACTATGGCGTCATGGCTTTACATATGTGGCGGTTTTGGTAATTAACAAAGATGAAGATGGAAGATCGTCCTTATTTACGGCAAATCCATATGATGTTCAGAACCATTGCGGTTATGTCCCGCACACAATACACGTGCAAAGATGTGATTATGAGATCACTGACCCAATTGAACGACCTATAAGAAATTACCACGGATGTTCCGTAGTATTCCATTTTACTATGCTTACGCAGTATTCGGATAAATTTGATCGCAAATCTTTTACAATTTCGATGGTGGTTGAAATGCTAAATGTCACTCTAGACCAATCTCAAAAGTCTCAAGCCAAGATTGGTCTACGTGATGAACTACTAGTTTCCGGTATAAAAGGAGGTTATCGGATGAGTCATGTGTATACACGGGATATAATAGTGTGGATAGTTCCACCAACAACTGCCATTTCGGCATTGGAAATTTTGGCAGTTAATTTTGATCTGGAGGTTTGGATATTAGTTTCGGTGATTTTTGCATTATTTACCTTAGCTTGGTATGTTTTGGACAATTTCAAAACAAGCTTGGGTGAAATTGTTCTGAAGACTTTTGGGATCACGCTATTTGGAAGCACCAGTCGCTTTCACGAATCTACAAGACTAAGATTCGTAATTCTGTGCTACATTATATACAGTGTGCACATACAAACAGCGTACGTCTCAAACTTAACGCGCTTGATGACTTCACCTCCAACAAGGCAACCGATTCGCAATTTAAAGGAGCTGTTCGAGGCTGATATTCCAATTTGTTTGGATTCTAGTGCCGTGTACGTGCTAAGTAAATATTCGTTGCTAGAACATGAAAAAATATACAAGAGCATACAGTCAAAGTCATGTCCCAGCATATCTCGCAATCCTCGTGTGTTACTGGGGACTTGGTCTGCACGTCCAAATTTCTCTATCGCTATTCCATTGAGAACACTACACGCACAAGCACTGAGTTTACGATTGCACACTCCAAATTACTTCATTGATAATTACATTTTACCTCCTTTGATGCAGACTTTTGCAACTGTGAGAAGTGGTTTCATTATCGACAGTCTAAACGTAATCATCGACGGATTGACGGAAAGCGGGTTATACGATAAATTAGACAGAGATCGGAAATTTTACGAAGATCTCAAAAGAAGAGAATTACCGCAAGAAGAAGAAGTGGTGGCACTATCTTTAGAGCACTTGAATGGAATCTTTATTGTATACTTATTTGGAGTGGTGTTGTCCGTAATGGGGTTTATTGTAGAACTGATTATCCATCGTGTTTCAACCTAGTTTAATCCACAATTTGCACTTTACTCACTGAAAATGTATTAAAATGTTATTGTCAAACACGTTTGTAGTATTTAATAAATCTGAAATGTATAACTTTTATGACAAAACATCTAATCAGCAAAGAACGGAAGCGACGACCACATCGTGTCGTCTCGCTCTACTACACGACCCATTCGGATCTGATCAGTACGAGGGGAGGCGGCCCAGCCGAGATATGTCTTTACAATTTTGTAATAGTGAGTTGAGGGTGCCGTGCAGAACATTGTCGGCACAAATTGTGGGACCATAGCCTTTTAAAGGTTATCACAGTTATTAGATGTTCTCTCTCTCTCTCTTTCTCATGCCCGGGAAGAAGTGAAAGAATCAATCTTGTTAGGTTTTTAAGTTCGTTAATTACCCAGTGTATTGTCTAATGGTATACGAAAACCAGCATTCAATCGGCAAGATTGTGCAGTTTAAGAAAAATATCAACATGTTAACAGATTACGCCGTTTGACCTCGCATTCCATCGAACAAAAGCCGAATTTGCAAATTTTATTCCGACTATTTGAATAACTATAATTAACCGTAATTAGTTGAATGCGTTACAGATAGCAGCCCCCGATTAAGTCGAAATTGCATCCGTTAGGTGCGCCCTTAACAAAACTTGAATTTTGACACCGCTCCCGTATTTTTAAGACGTCTGGGAAATAAACTGTAATTTTTGAATGTAGATCACCGTAAATGCCGGCAGACTGGGAATTTCCTACTTTCCCTCCATTGAACGCTTAATTTAGAGAGGATCTTTTTGCATTTGGCGGTTAACCGTATCTAAATCTTTTGCACAGTAATTGCTACGGCTACGGCTCCGTTAATTGCACGATTTTTGCCACTTTCCGTTTCATTAACTATAAGAGGGGGAATATTCAGGCCGAAGAAGCTGCCTCAAGTCAATATTGGGAAAAAACAGTTTCTGTAGGAACCAAAAAAACAGTCGAATTCGTCAAGTTTGGGCCTATAAAGAACAAGATGAGAAACCGTTTCTCTGCATCCAAAATGGAGTGAAGACATTTTTTGACAGATTTTGGGTCAAAAGTCAGAACCTTGAAAGGTTTTAGCTGAGGAAAACTGTCTACACCGTCTCAAGAGCACCAACGCTTTCTTTCGTTACATCCACCTTGGTTTGATCTTTCGTCGATATACCGGGTGGTGCACGGTAAGTAGGAACATAGGGATTAAACATGGGAAATTAGTTTTATCATTGAATCAATGGTTTTATGCAATATTCTGCCCTATGTACATTTGATTTAAAAAAACTGTAGAGTTTTTAAAGTTGTTCAGAATTAAAACTGTTTTTACAAGTTTTATTAAGCTTTTGGTATACCCGCAAATTTCTGTTATTAGTAGCAATAGCCATGACTTTTGTTGTTTTATTAATTGCTTGTATTAACAGAAATGTTAAAATTTATTTTTTCTACAACTGTCAAAAAAACCTGTCATTTTCTGACGGATTTCGAAACGCGAAGTACTAGATTTTTAAACGGTTAATTAATAAGTAAGGTTGCTATTGACAACGTGCGCGAAATCGTCAACAGTGAAAAAAAGTATTTCGCGCACGGGACAAAGTTGAACTTAAACAGCAATTTAATTAACAATCGGTTCAGTTGTAGAAAAAATATTGTATATAACGCCAGCGCGAAGTT